CATGCTTCTTTCTTCTTAAAAATGTGCCACTGAGGACTGCTGGTGGTATAAGTTCTGCATTGTCACCTTGTCCTAGAAACCAGCTGAAAGTCACAAAGAGAATGGAAGACACAAATTCCTCCTCTAGCTAAATCAGGAGGCAAACACCAAAGTACTCAGGATTAGTGTAAAAAGTAGGCAATGCCATGCAGAAGCAGTTCTGGAAGAAGTGAGATGTGTGGAGGAGAAAGCCCAGAGTGGCAGATCTCAGGAATCTGAAGGCGAGCGACACACCAGAGGATCAATCTCCAACTCTCCTTGTCTGCAAAAGATGGTGTGGAAATAGGAGTGAGTTGGGTGGCCCAGAGACCCCAGCTGGACTCTGGAGATTAGAAACGCAAAGGAGAGGGTGATATGTAAATAACCATGCTAACAAGCCACGTGTGCAGGCAGCGGCCCGGCTATGGGGCAGATGAAGAGAAGCGAGCATCTGTGCTATGAAAACCAGCTGATTTCAAATTCTGCCTGATTCTATAGGAATCTCGTTCAGTTGACTGTTTCAGCTCATACAATAAGAGTTCAGCACCCATAACAGAGACACTGTAAATGTAAAGGAGACAAAGGCAGCAACACTTATTAACAAATGAGGATCAGTCACCTGAAAATATGATCCAGAAACAGGTGAACATTGAAAGCCATCATTTCCCTATGAATTTTTAAAACTTAATGAGACAATAGCCTCTATGAAGGAATACCACAAAACAGAAATGCAGTAACTCAAGAAAAAATAGTAAGATAGGAAGATGTGAAATATGAGCTAGAAAGAAATAGAGAAAAGTAGAAATTAACAGAGAAGGTGAATAAGTACTTGGTGAAACACAGCAAGCCAAATAAAGTATAAAAATAAGGAGCAAAATGAAATGAAAATAGTGGGAATGGATTAAAAAGAAGATGCAAGGTATATAAAGCAAATAAAGGAGACCCAACCTATATACAATTGAAGAATCTAAAGAAAAAAATAAAAATTAAATAATAGAATGAAACAAATATTTAATATTTAGTTCAAGAAAATTTTGATGAAATAAAATACTTACATCTACTTTTTCTAGTAGTGCATACTGCATGCTAAGAAAAACCCCCAGAGCAGTCAACACTGATACACTCTAATAACATTACTGGACGTTAAAAAAAAAAAAAAGCATCCTTAGGGTAGCCAGTCAGGGTGAAAAGTCAATCTGCTCTTAGATTTCGCCACAGCAGCATTAAATCTTAGAGTATAGTGGGACAGAACCCCCCAAGCAATTCAAAGAAAGAAACTTTGACCTAAGAATTTTATAACTAGTCAACTTTACTTCAGGTATGAATGCTGTTGAAAAACAGTTTGAATATGCAAGAACTTAGAGGATATTGTTTCCATGTGGACTTCAGTGAGGCAAGAAATGTTGGGAAACTGGGGCCAAGGGGACTGGAGTATGCACAGAATATATTTAATTGAATAACTAAGACCCGAGCAAGTGTGAGCATCAGAATGATGGAACAGAATGCACATGCTTTCTGTTCTGACAATGTAGAACTGACGTAAACGTAAAGAGTTGGAAGGGGGAATAAAGAAAAAGGGGGGAGAAAGAATAAATGTGCTGTTTACTGTGTTGATAATACCAAAGAATATCATTTAAAGCCAATACATGATAGGAATGTAAACTTTTTAACAGGGTCTCACTTTGTCACCCAGGTTAGAGTGCAGTGGCACCATCATGGCTCACTGCAGTCTCGATCTCCTGGGCTCAGTCAATTCTTCTACCTCAGTCTCCTGGAGTAGCTGGGACTACAGGCACACACCACCATGCCTGGCTATTGGAAAGTAAACATTTTCAATTGTACTAAGATAAACTTTAAAAAAGATAATTAGTAATGAAAATTGAATGGTTGAGGAAAGGGAGGGGGTGGGGCAAAGGAAATATGCTAATTTCATGATTGCTCTTATTACAGAATTAAGAACTGCAGTCTAACAATCCAGACAACTAAGGACATACAATCATAAAGATAATCAAATAACACTTTCCTTACTTTTATGAGAACTATGTGCTATAAGACAAAGTAAATGTAAGTGAAAAGAAAACAGTGAAAGACTTCAATACAGAAAATGGGTCATAAAATATTAGGACAGAATTTAGATGAACTCTGAATGGCATATCAAGTAATATAAATATGCTAAACCTACCTAGTGAAAGAACACAGAACTATTTTGGTGAAAGTCTGTGTGTGTGTGTGTGTGTGTGTGTGTGTGTGTGTGTGTGTGTGTGTGTGTGTGTATGTGTACGCAAGAGTGCAGAGCATACAAAGTCTTCATGTAACCTCCTGTCCCATGACAGACCATGAAGGAATTCCCACAACAAGTTTGAAAATCATTGTTCCAGTTCATTTTCAGCAAGCAGGAGGGAGATTCTAGATGAATTCCAGGTTTGGAAAGCACATATTGTCCAGGGAACCACACAGCTAACAAGGAAAATACCCTCCAGGCTTTGTCTTGGAGGTTTTGCCCTGTGGCCCTGAAAGCCCTGGCTGGAGAGGGGTAAATCAGAAACCTGCCTCACTTGATTTCCCCCAACACTTATTCAGCTTGCTGGTCCCCTCTCTACACCTCCCCCAAGCAGGATATCCAGGCTAGGGGCTGCGTGACCCTGTATTCATAGCAGCACACGTGCCTGGGATGTCCAGTGAGGGGAGAAGATGTTAGCGTGCGGGTGCCAGAGGGTAGATGCATACCAGAGACCAGAGGAGATTTTCCCCTGCTGTCTCCTCCCCCTAGCTATGGGAGGAACATTAGCTTAGGTGGTTCTTCCAGAAACAACTTTAGATCTTAGAACCAGATGGATGGAAGGTGTTTATTGGCTTTCATATCCCACTCTGGTGTTGACTCTCACACTGGGTTTTGGGGATTCAGCCAGAGCCACAAGGGAACATTTGGTTATCACTATCTCACTGCTTAGGCCAAGATGGGAGATTGAGTCTGATGGTGGTGACTAGACAGTGGCAGAAAATCTCACTCATTTTAACCTTCTCCAAGAACCACCCTCCAGGGCCCAACTGACTGATGGGGTGGTGGTGGTGTGTGGGTTCCTCTTATCCAGCTTTGCTCTGTTGTCATGAATGGGCAGGAGGAGGTTCAGGAAAGCCCAGAAGGGAGTTAGTCAGTCCATCTCCAGCTGTCCACCAAGAGCTAGAGTCACTGGATATTAAAGGTCCCTTTATCCAACTCACCCCTTGTAGAGGAGAAAGCTGGTCCAGAGAGTGAGGTCACACTGACCAACACAGACTGCAGCCGCTTTCAGTCCCTTTTTCTGATCTCTTAGTGCTCTTTCTACCACCACATGCTGGCTCCCAGCACCTGAGGTATAGGGCACAAAGAGGGGAAAGACACATTAGTGTACTGAGTGAGGCACTAAGAGGGAGAGACTGGCCTCATTTCCGGAAGACAAGAGAGGCTGAGACAGGGAGAGAACCAGCGTGGAGGAACTGGAGATAGGAGGGCATGTGAGAATATTTCGAGGTGCTGAGAAGAGAAATGTGTTCAGTTCGGTGCTCTGGGATTTTCTGCCACTGGCTCAGAAGGGACTGAAAACACAGACAAATTAGAAAATACATGAGGGGGTCATTCCTCCAGGCACTGTGGTTGGAAGGAAGGGGAGAATCTAAGGGGAACTGAAGAAGGGAAGGGGAGGCTCTTTTAATTACAGAGGGAAGGGAGCTAAGAGATGATCTTCATGAGGCTCTTCTGGCTGCATGCAGGAGTACCCATGATCTATAGCTCAGGTGTAAGGGAAAATGGGTTGACACAGTCCCATGGAGCCCCAGGCAGTGACTGCTGATGTTCCTGGGCCAGGCACAGAACCAGAACCAGCAGCGTCAGGAAGCTGGTCAAGACGCTTCCTCCTATTTCCATCTCAGGTTTGTCTTTAAGACTTGCTTTCTCTCTTTCTGCAGGCCAACTCTCAACAGAATAAGGTCCGCTGCCGGAATATTTGGCTGGATGGCCATGGGCTCCTGCTCTCTAATTCATGAGCAGAACAAGCAGCCTTGCTGACCTCTCTCAAGCTCATGCTCCCTGGGCTGGGTTTGGGGGTGAGGATCTATTCACCCAGCATGGGTCAGAGCCCAGGATGGTCCCATCAGCTTTGGTAGGGGTCAGGGTGCCTGGGCAGATGCCGCCCTGGGGTGGATTGTGGGGGACAGAGGTGGCACATTTGAGAGATCATGGAGAGCTGCTGATCCCAGACCTTGCCTATAGTCATCCACTACAGAACTGATCCTGGATAGGCCCCTCTTGTCACCCACAAGGGAACTTTTCAGGAGAACAAGCAGATGCAGGAGAGAAGTGCAATCTGATTTGTTGGGTTGTGATTTGTGATTTGTGGGGTCTGATTTGTGTGTCTGTGATATCTTTGAAAATTCTGTTTATCTATGTGCCTTTTCCATGCATTCCATGGAAAAGTCTCACTTCCATGCATGGAAAGCCTCACTTTCCATGCATTTCATGGAAAAGCCTCACTGCACCTAGTGTCAAAAATCTGAGGGATATCTGGTGAATTCAGTAAGTTAACTTCATCTGGGGATTTTTGAGATGCAGATTGCATGCTCCATTTATTCCGTCAATCACATGTTCAATGTTTCTCACTACGCGCCAGGGATCTGCTGGCGGATCCATCATTAGGGAACAAGGTGGCAGCACTCCGAACCGCAGTGGCTTAGATTCTCCTGGCAGCTCCACTCCCACATGGCCATACCTGCACTTGTTTCTTTCTTCTTGTGGCTACAGTGCCTTGGAGCAGTGGCCCTCAAACTTGAGCCCACATCAGAATCACCTGGAGAACTTGTGAAAACACAGGCTGCCAGTCCCCTGCTTCTGCCCTCAAGAATTTACATTTCTGCCAAGTCCCCATGTGATACTGCTCCCACCAGTTCAGGGTTTGTGTGTTGAGAAAGCACTGTCCCTGGGGTGTGTCCTTGCTCTCATGTGCAGAATGGGCGCTACCACATCCGTGAACCAACCTATTGGGAAGGAGAGAGAGAAAGGCCAAGTCAGCCAACTTCCTTTTACGCGTGTGGGGCAGGCAAAAGTGGTTGACTCATGCCACAGTCAGGTACTCGGTCATATAGCCACATACAGCTGCAAGGAGCCAGTAAAAAGTCATCTTTTACTGGGCAGATGTGCACTGAAAAAAGGGAAGGGCATGTTCATTGGGGACAACCAGAGATCTGCCTAAATGGGTCCATGAAATCCCATGGAGATGAGAGAGCCAACTCTTGGTGGTGGGGACAGATGTGGAAAGGTGCATGGTTACAGTATCATAATGGTGGTTTAGTCAAAGGTAGAATAAAGGAGAAACCACGTCTGGAGGCAACAGCAAAGGCCACCCCAAAAGGCAAAGTAAGCAAGCCAAGCTATGAAGCATGCGTGCCCTTGGCTGGGGTTGCCCAGTCCTCTCTTGAAGGCAGCTGGTTGTCACTCCACTTGGGTTGTGCTCTTATTCTCTCCTGCACCCAGGATACTACTTTGTTCACTGTCCCCATTGTTTTGTGGATTGGGCTGAGTCTTTCCCGGGTCTCAAGTTCTCTTTTTTCTACTCCACCCCCCCCCAGGCATCTTGGCTCTGGAGAAGGCTGCGTGGCAAGAGGCGGCCAGTGATGGCATTCTGCCTCTTGATGACCCTGTCTGCAGTGGCTGTCATCCACCTCCCCCCACAGCATCCAGCAGCCAGCCCAGACCCTGGTCCCATGGAGTCCCAGGGAGTAACTGGCGCCCCTGCCCCTCATGTCCGACAGGTTTTGAGCTCCAGCCGGAGGCAACGGGCAAGAAACATAGAGTTCTGGAGAGGCCAGGCTTTGCCCAGGAATTCCACCTTGGTCTGTGCTGAGGAGCAAGGTCACAGAGTACAAGTAGACAGAAGCAGACAGTCCCCAGGAGGTGACCACAGGCATCCAGGGAGGGTGAGGAGGGACATTGCTTTATCAGGATATCCAAGACTCACCCAGCATCTTGTGCTCCTGAGGGAGGATGAGGCCAAAGATCTAGGAGCCAAAGACCTGGACCACCCCAGGCATGGCAGCCCCATCCAGAAGACACAGCGTGAGAGGGGCACCGTGGTGAGCCCTCTCATGGGAAGAGATGTGGCAGCTTTATGGGCTTGGAGAACTACTGCTGGGCTGTCCCGCTCACCCGATTCAGCAGAAGGAAGGGACCTTCTGGGAACTGAGAACAGAGCCTCGACTTCTGGGCAACAAGTGGAGGATCCCACCCTGGTTCCAGGGGCTCGTTGGTGGCCTGGCTCTGTTGGGGAGCTGCAAGGGTCCACATGGTGTGACACTGAGACCCCGGGGCTGTTGACCAGCTTGAGGACCGGCGGGCAGGTTCCCCCATGGCTCACAGAACATGACGTGCAGGCCCTTGGGCTGTTGTCTCAGGGGGAGGTGGTGGGCAAATCCAGGGTTCCTGCCCACGGTCAGGTGCTGCAGGTCGGCTTCTCCACCAAAGGTGCCCTTCAGGATTTGTCTCTTCCCCAGCTCAGCCAACTCTGTGCCCAGGGACTCTGTGGCCTGATCAAGAGGCCTGGGGACCTGCTTGAGGTCCTGTCCTTCCACGTGGACCGCGTGCTGGGGTTGCACCGGAGTCTGCCTGCCGTGGCCCGGCGCTTCCATAGCCCCCTGCTGCCCTACCGCTACACGGACGGTCGCGCAAGGCCTGTTATCTGGTGGGCACCTGATGTGCAGCACCTGGGTGACCCAGATGAGGACCAGAATTCTCTGGCCATAGGCTGGCTGCAGTACCAGGCCCTGCTGGCACATGGCTGTAGCTGGCCGGGTCAGGCCCTGTGCCTGGGCATCCACCATGCTGAGTGGGCACGCCTAGCTCTCTTCGACTTCCTGTTGCAGGTAGGTGGACTCGGGCAGGGGTATGGAGAGCTGTGGGGGTGGAGGGTTCTGGTGGAGAGGACTGAATTGCCCACCTGAGGTTGATGGTGACTCTCCCCCCAGTCATGGTCTTTTGGCCACTGAGCACCTGTTTTTTGTAATTTTTCTGCCTTATTTATCCAAAGGTATACTGGAGTTGGCTCATCTGCTCACAAGAGCTGAATGCTAACATTTTCAGGAATTTTGTGACCTGGTTGTGAAACACAGGCATTATTAAAAGTTAAATTACATAGACTAATACTATATTAGAAACAAAGGCAATAAACACCAGGACTCACTATTTCTTAATTATTTTATTGCGTTTCACTGTTATCTGTGCTCTTGTAGTTATTTATGTACATTGTGTATATGTGTTTATGTGTGTGTGTGTTTATATATGTGTGTGTATATTAGAGAGAGAGTAAGTACTATGTAGTGATGTGCGGCTGCTTATTGCTTGCCAACTCCACATTCGGTGATGTTGCTAGCTTGAAATTGTCAGGGTGTGAATGTTTACACCATGGAAATCAGCAAATGCCACACACCAGGATCTCCCTCTACTTCTGGAGAGCTCATTGTTAAACATTTACCCTCACACTATTTATAACTATATCTTTAAATCAACAAGCATTTAAGTTGGTTGTATAATTTAAAAAAGAAAATGAATGAGAGAGGGAAAGAGATAGAGATAGAGAGAATGGGAGCGGGAGAGAGAGAGAAAGGGAAGAGGGAGGATGCCTGGGCACTGAAGAATGAGAAGGAACTCTGCTGGCTGAGGTCCCTACCCTACCAAGAGTTCACCCTGGCTCTGCTGGATCAAGGGGCAGTGTGGGGATCCCAGGAAAGGAGCTAGGCTGTCAGGGCACAGAGGCTGACTGGAGGACTGTAGGAACCAGCTATTTCCTGACTGACCTGTTAACAATCAGTGTGGCAGTTCCAGTGCCTGTGAGCTGGATGTCCGCCGTGGATACGCGGAGGGAAACATGGCCAGGAGGTAACAAAGACAAAAAATGAATAAAGTTCAGCGAGGGTGGATACGTTCACTAAATGCGCACATAGCCAGCTTTCATTTTTTTAGGGATGCGTGCTGAAGAACGAGGTCAACACTAGCCCTAAGGCTCACCTATGGAGGCGAGTGGATGGGCCACAGGACAAGATCCAGATCATGACCAGGCAGCCAGGGGCCAATATGCTGTGTTTGGTCCATGTGGGGTTGGTTCCCAATGTGTTTTAGAAAATGCTTGGATGACCTCTAATACTTTGGAGATTTCCCATAAAAATCCATCTTCCTTTGAAAAACTGGATGGTTTAGTAACACTGGTCCTTCACTCCTATATGTCATGATCAACCTGAGTTGAATAGCTGCTGCCCCCTTTAGAGGCTGCCACACTGTCCTTTTGGCCACAGGCCTTACTTCTTTATTGTCCAACACCCACCTACTCTCTTCCCAGGACCCACCTCCCCCCTTGAATGTTACCCCTGTCTGCCTGTAGACACGTTTGTTTCCAGACCCGGGCTAGCTGATCTCTTGCCATCCTTCCAGCCCCTCCAATGTCTGTCCCCATGGCTGCTTTGTGGAAGGAGGAATCTGGGGGTCAAGAGTACAGGTTTTAGCATCAGAAAGACCTGGGTTGAACTCTCCACCCCCAGGCTACTTCCCACTGTGTGCTACTGAGCAAGTTACTTGGCCTCTCTCAGCTTTAGGCTTCTCCCTCTGAAATGGGATTGTCCCAACATTATCCCCTTGGTCCTGAGCAGTTGGTAGCTCCTAAATGCCGGCACCTGCATCTATGGCTTACTCTGGGCCCTGTGTGTCACACAGGAAATGCTGGGGAACTGACGCTCTCCAGATAGTGTGTGACCACCCTCTGGATTGAGAAGAAGGGGTTTCCCATATAGGATTTTCAGTGCTGAGGCTGGGGCAGTTGTGGGTGAACAGGGAAGCTTGGTCATACTACCTCCAGGAACAGTCTTCAACCATGACTGAAGACGATTGGTGTGTACACGCCCTATATGCATATTCTACACATCTCTCAGCATTAACCTAACAGGATTGAAACCCAATTATCCACAATGGTAACTGCTGGCCTTCCGTGTCTCACCTCCCCACTCCCTACTTGTATTTCTTGGTGTTAGCTCACAAATGGCTTTCAGCTAAATTCTTGTCTCAAGATCTGTTTCTTGGGAAGCTCAGCTGATGTCAAATGATAACACTGACCTTGCATGCTTTCTGCATGTGAGATCATTCATGTAACATACTAAGTACAATGTCTGGTAGGCTGCACACATTCAATAATAAGCAGGCACTGGCCTGAACACTTTATAGGAATTAACTTACCTGGTCCTCGTGAGAACTTCATGAGTAAGATACTGCATTTATTCCCATTTTAAAGTTGAGAAACTGAGGCCAAGAGAGGTTAGGTTACTTGTCCAAGGTCACAAGTGGTAGACTGAGATGCAGCCAGGATGGTCTGACTCCAGAGCTCACCATCTGAATCAGAGTTACTATTCAGCTGGCCATGAATGAGGGCAGGAAAAGGGTATGCTTGCAGGGACACCCCAGGGCCCTGATATCCGAGGCACAGCTCCTTGCAAAGCTGCAGTCCAGCCGATGTGCTCGCAGCTACTTTCTGTTCCACACAGAGTCCCTCTGTTCATCTCCCGGGGCTGGGGGCGTGGGACTTTTCCTCAGCTGCCAAGCCCTGCTGTGGGGACAGAAGTCTCTGCAGCCAAGGCACACACAGATTGGTTTTGTGGTCAGACATAACTCTACTGGGCTTGTGCCACTTCTTCCCTGGTTTGCTGAGCACTATTCAAGTCAAACACCGCCGTTTGGCTAACACCGGCTTCCTAGAAACCACTGGCAAGACAGAGAGAGGCGGGGATGCAGAATGTGGGTTTCCCTGCACAGGAATCTTTTGACCAGGGTCTGGGTATAAACTTTGTATACAGGCTGCTCTGGGGTAGGTATGCTTGTTCATTTGTTTGGTTTTATCCTATATAAACCCTTGTTTCTCTGTGTTTGTGCGTCACAACATATCATTTACCGAGGCACAGAACACACAGGCACTGCATATCTCTTATTCCCTGCATAAATCATACCTGTATTTCACAAATCCCACACAACACTCTGTATTTGTAGGTGATTGCTAAACCAACACTGGGTAACAAATCTCCCAAAACTCAGTGGCTTAAAACTCCAGTTCTTTCTTTCTTGCTTCTGGTCTGTGGGTCAGTTGGACTCCACTGAGCTGGGTGCCAAGCTGTGGGTTGGGCTCAGGTCCACTGTCCATTTCTCATCCTGGGGCCCAGGCTGAAGGGGTAGCATTCTCCGGGGCAAATTCTTCTCATGGAAAATGGAAAAGGCCCAAGAGCACAACCAAACTGCAAAAACACAGGTAAATCTTATGCCAATGTCACTTATAACATTCCATCAGCCAAAGCAAGTCAGTGGCCAAGCGCAATGTCAGGGAAGGGAAGTACACTAGTCAGAGTAGAAGGAGGAGAGGAATGAACATTTGTTGGACAGTTATCAAATCAACCTTGCCCCCAAAACGTGCATTTTTTTTTGGACTTATACACAAACCATATATGTCCACTCGTGTCATAGCCACACACAGGTACAACAGTCACATGAACCACCCCTTCCCCCATGCTCCATGTGGTGCCCAGACACTGCTGTGGGTAACTGGGTCTCAATCCTGTCGGGTCCTCTGGAAGAGTATGCAGAAGGTGCTTCAGGGTTGACACACCGAAAGGGCAAGGAAGCTGTGATATTCACCCTCTAACTCCCAGCCATCACTGGATGAGTCCACCCCCGAGGTCACTGATTTCCTGGCACTTGTAGGATATTTCTGCAGCCAAAAAGGGACTGGGGCAGAGAGCCATACAGAAAGTCATTGACATATGGGGAGAGAGGATAAAAAAAATCAGAATTATTTTTTGGAGGGCAGGCTCTTTGTAGTATAGGCTTCTCCCACTAGGTGAGTATTCTGTGAACCTATCTGCATCAGTGTACCAGCTGGCATTGTTGTGTTCAGCTTCAGTGAAATTTTTGTAGATTCTTTCAATGCTGAGTGTTCAGCAGTTTTTAACCAAGAGTGATATGACCCCCCATGCCCCACCCTCCCTATTCACCCAATCTCGCCCCAAGTGACTTTTTTTGGTTTCCCCGATGAAAAAAGTCCTCAAAGGGAAATGTTTTCCAATGTGGAAGAGGTGAAACAAAAAACAGCAGATGCACTAAAAGGCATCAAAATTGATGAGATCAAAAACTGTTTTGAGCAGTGGAAAAAGCATCTCAATTGTTGTATTTCATCAAATGGAGAGTACTTTGAAGGTGTCTGAAGTTTAAACATGTAAGAATCAATACATGATTTTTTATGAATTAATTCTGACGTTTTGAGGGGTCTACCCTCGCATATGAGAACAGTGAGTGCCAAGGGAATATGACTGGGATACCAACAGTGGCTGCTACTCATAATGAGTCATCAGTCAAAGATAAGCTTCAATCGACCAAATAACCAGACTAAGAAAGATGAAGTTCTAATAGTGAGTGGGAGATCTTCCCACCTCACCCCAGGCTGTGTCATAGGAAGTAGCAAGACCATGAGAGAACCCATTACTTCAGAATGGATCAGTGAGAAGTTCTACTCTACTGGACAAAGTTTGTGTGTGTGTGTGTGTGTGTGTGTGTGTGTGTGTGTGTGTGTGTGTTTGGCTGGAGGAAGGGGCTCAAAAAGCTCTATTCTGCTTAAATGCCAGGGGCTACCTGCAACCATAGTTATACTCACTCTGGTAAAAGGTACAAAGTCCTTCTCCTAGGACAGTGAAGATGGTAACTGCACAGTCAAGTTATGGCCAGGAGGAGCTGTGACCACCAATCTGCTGCAAGCCGAATCCGACTGAGGGGAATTGTGCCTGGACCCAAGGGGGCCTTTCATAGATACAGAGGCAGTGTGTGGGGAGTAAGTGCTGAGGGA